GTCATTTTGCCGGATAAATTGCTGGGGGTCATTCCAGTATCACCTCCATAAGTCGATATATTAATACCTTCTTCAAGGTCCCGTTGACCTTCGAGCAATGCATATCGCCGGTATAAGACATTCGGATAGGAAATCATCAGTTAATCTCGCATAAGACCGACAAACGTCACGAAATTATCGAGACTTGACTAAAAGCTCATATACAATTCAATGCCCAAATATTCATTTCTTCATAACTTTGTTGTTATTTCTTGAATCGAGAAAATGGAGAAAATGGAGTGCTTTCTTTCTCATCCCTGCAGAGGGTGGCTGTTGAAATATTGAGTTAATATAAACTATTTATCTTAAGCAACTCAATACTTATATATACAAAAACCAATCGATGTAGGTGGAGTCAGGAAGGCCCAAACATAAATACAGTTTTCCTAGGAAGAAAGAAAGAACAGAGGATTCTTTCTTCTTCATATTGATTACTAATTTCTCTTGCCTTTGCATAGTCATAATTAAAGTTAGTCTTCTATAGTTCACCAGAGAGTAAAGACAGTCCTTCCTCGTGACATTAAAATAAAAGTATATTTGCGTGACAATTACATTTAACTGAGTTTTTCTTTATTATTTAATCCTCCCATTTCCAATAGTGGCCAACGCATGTTGAAACTTGTTTTTCTGCTTTGTTTCCTTCAATTTCCCTTGGTGATATCATTTCAACCCCTAGGCTTCAAGGTCAAGACGTCGGAGGGTTCCTTCGTCTTTCTTGGTACGAAGGCTATCATACCCCGGGGGATGGAGGAAGAGATGAAGCCCATTTGCCCAGGGCTCAGACAAACTTCACAACGTATTTGACCTTTTTTTTTCAATTTTCTCGAAGGAGAAGAGGAAAAAATTAAGTTAAATTATGATTATTGAATTGGCTGTAGTGCTTCAGTGTATTTTTTTTCTATGAGTGAAAAAGTCATTTATCCGTATACGGTTTCCGTGTGAAAATAAAAATGATGATGGGATGTTGCCCTTGTCACGTGTTTTGTTGTCTCCGGAGGGTTTTGTCAGAGGGAAAAAAACGAGGGTAGAAATTTGCTGCGTAGATGTTCGATTCGAGTTCAAGGTTTCGAGGGGAGACTTGACAGACCCGGAAGAAATCAGGCGCGTGGAAGAATGAAAAGGTCTGGCCTTGAAGGAATGGACTCACCTCCCTGTGGGGGATGAAATCATCGCTCATGGAAAAAATAAAGCGTGGCACCATCACATCACATACACTTCAGGATAGGATACCAGAGGGTTCTTTCCCTTTGCGTAAATACCTCATTTTCGTGGATGAAATATTGTCTGGAAATTGAGAGAAAGAATGGCACGTAGAGAAGTGGGTTGTATGAGAGACATTTCAGATTCATCATTTGTTTCTATTCTGATTAATTTTTTCATATTTCTCCTGAAATTAAATTTTGTAAAACCTTGAAAAAATAACCAACCAGAATAAATATGCATTTAGTTATAGTATAGCGCATATACCTATTGCGAATTGTTTTTTTTTTAATACTTTTAAGTCTTGGTTGGTCGAAAATCGTATCACAATAATGGACGACCACCGATTTGAGAAATTAATTCTTGAGTTGCGTTATTATATAGAAATGTGATATTTTTTTTTTTGTGAAGGGAAGAGCAGGTGAATAAAATGAGGGGGTTTGCAGAGTAAATATTCTCTCGGAGATATTGGGATGTGTGACACTAGCTCAACGTGTCATTTATGCAAATTTTTGGCCTTCGACTGAAACATCGTTGGGGTTATGAGCCATTGTTCCCCCGACATATCGGGCTTTGTCGCACAACTCAGAAACTCAAATCAGTATATGACCCTCCATCTCATCGTTAAACGGCCTCGACGACTTCCCTTGCCCTTCGTCGCATTTGTCTCCTCCTCTTTTTTTCCCCCGTTTTTTTTTTATTCCCATTCCGTTTACTCCGTCATCTAGACCTGACCGAGAATCGTTTTACCTCTATTAAAATGAATCCACCGTCTGCAGACCGTAAGGCATTATAATCGGGGAAGAGAAGGCAAATATCAAATAAACAAACTGAACGGAGGACAAAATAAATAAAAATAACAATAAATAAAATACAGACGACCTTCAGACTTCAAGGAAATCGGTCGTGGGGGGTTGGGCCTGAAAAAAAAAAATCAAAATCGATTCCCCATTTTTGGAATAGACAAAACTAAGACCTAAAAATAGTGGGACCAGTGGGGGTAGATGTCTCCCGAGACAACAAAGACCTGCTCTAGGTCATCTATCCTCTTTCACAACCAAAACTGGTATATCGTTCTTTCGACCACCTTGATCCCCTCCTCCACCTGATTACCCCTGAAAAAAATGAATGTGGGAAAAAAAAAATTGTTGCAAAATTCACCCTGATATTGGAGTAAAAAAAATCAAGGGAGTCAGTGTGCCTTTTGATAATTCCTGATGCTCGAGCAATTCAGTGCGTTTCCAATTACTTTGAAGTAAGTGACCACGGATAGAAGGTCCTCGATGAAGTAAGTAGGGGTGCAATTCAGCGCGAAGGTCATAAAAGTGGAAAAGCTGATGAAGAGAAACTACAATATCCCCCCGGTACAAAGACCTCTTACCTATTTGCTGTAGGATGAGGGGTCGAGGAGGTTTTTCACGACCACAGTTGATCTCACACAGTGAAATGCACGTCGCATTACCATTTACTATTTGTCATTATTCTTGACTTGAATTGGCATCGCCAGAGTTAGGTAGTGTGTAAGGGACGAATACGCGGTCTGCGACCTCGGTTGGACCTTGAACGCTCTGGTCGAGACACACACACCGAACATTGGTCGACGAAGAAAAAGGGAGGCCAGTGATCTCTCAGGAGCCCAACCAAAGCCAAGGGAACCAACGGGGGGACGAAGAGAAAAAAAAATGAATATATATTGAAAAAAGGGGGAATAAAACGAGTGCGAGGGCGTCCCGAAGGCTCCACAACCTGGGTCCAGTCTGGGAATGTTAAGTTGGCCAGGGAACGTGATTCTTCATTTATCCACAATAATCACCATTTTCATTTTCATTTGTTTTTTTTTCAATAAATTATCTCCCAATATGATAATTCACAAAATCTGCTCAGAAATTTTTTTTATTTAAAGACTTGAAAAAATTCTCCGATTCTACAACTTCCTGCGGATTAAAAGTGAAAGAGAAGAGTCAATTCTCTGTATAAGGACAAGGTGGAAAAAACTTAAAACGGGCTAGAACTATTTTTGTATAAATGAATGTTGTTGGTAAGAGGTGGGTGGGTTTTTGCCTTTTTTATATTAAATTGACGGGTGTGGGTGGAGGCCAGTGGGGGAATCGACTGGGTTAATTTGAGGGGACTAATAATGCCCCTGAAATATCGCCTATTTTCAGACTTTTGTTGGTATTCATCGAACTTGTGTACAGTGTACACTTTATCGTGCCAAGGATAAATTATCATCATTATGTTGGGACCTTGAAGTTTATGGTCTCACCGATAAATTTTTTTTTTTCTTCGTCTCATCAGGGCGGATGATAATTAACACTCGTTGAATTTGTATTACGCAATTTGTATTATTTTATTTCCAAAATGCGAGGAGAACAATAATAAATTCTGGTTCCGCTCTTATGAATGAAAACACGAAGGCCGAGGTTCAGCTCATTTATCAACTCCTCAAGCGTGTTGCATGTAAAGTCCCTCCTACAACATCGCGAATCATCTCTGAGATAATCCACAAGTTATTTGTTTTTACTAAGAGTTTATAATTGCATTTGTCATGCCATTTCTCGGCGAGTTTGGAATTCTGTCGATAATGATCACTGAGTGCTACTGAGTGTTATAAAGTTGTCACTGTATAACACTTTCGAATATCCGACGGATTCTCCAAGAAGACAGCTAACAACTCGTTGACATTTTATTGTACACTCCCAGTCATTTACGAGGAAATTAAATGGTCGGTCGACTTAAAAAATTTACTTCTGCCTGATTTTATTAGAGTTTTCAATTAAATGCAGGAAAAAATCGCTCACTCTATAGGGTAAAAGACTAGATAGAAACTTCTCACAATTATTTCCTAGATTTTCCAGTCGCATAATTTTTATGAGATGTCGGGTAAATTTCCCTCGGAACGAATGATTCAATTGAAGTTCAGAGTTCATGGAAACCATACAAAACTCAACCCCGTGAAGGTTGTCCTAGCAACAACCGCCCACCCATTGACACGCGCATCGCCACTTTCTGCGTGAGCACGAGGATGACCCATTGATAGTGTAGGTGGAAAATTGGAGTATATTGTACTAAAAAATAAAAAAAGTACTAGGTCCCCCCAGTAATCAGAAAAATCTGTCTGCATTTGTTCAATATCAAGTCCAAGAATAGAATGAAAATAGTTGTATGAATCAGAGATCAACTCAACGGTGCAATTTGACAATTTCTGGCGAAGTGATGTGTCCCATTGAAATAACGGCAAAATTTTCATCAGATTGTTTGAACGGAGCAGAATCCTTGGGAGTGATGAAACGATGTCTCTTATCAGTATTTGACTCAGGACCTTCGTGCAACAAATGTCTCTTCTCAGTTCAAGGCAGTTGAGAAAAGTCAAGACAAAGGACATACATCAGTCTCAGGTTTACGATTGTTTGGAGGGTAGAGGAGAAATAAAAAAAAAATGATTTTTTATGTATAATTCACCAGACAATGTTTATTCAGACGACCTCACAACTCCCAAGCGTACAAAATGACGTGCTCACTGGGCAATATGCGGGGCTGCTTGGTATTCATGCGTAGTACTTTTATTTCACTTTATTACTTTAGTTTTTATTCTTATTTTTTGTTCACCAGAAACAACAAACTGCATTTTTTTTTCTTGTATTTTCCGTCTTAATCGATAGAGAAATATATCATACTTTATGTATCGTTTACTATAATAATTATGTGTAGTTTATGCATAACAGTATTACGAATATCAATGCTAGGGGGTTTTTGTATCATTTTTTTTTTCATGGTTTTATTCATTATTACTTTGTTCCTTTAATTCAGAGTACTGTATGGATTCATTTGCGTAATCAACACAGAGGGACTTTCACTGATAAATTGATGAAAATGAAGGGCAAAACAATATCCATTTGAATTCATTGATTCGCGTTTAATCAATGAGTTTATCCCTAAAATAGAGGGGGGGGGGGCAGATTGTGTGCTCATGGGAATGACTTCGTGGTACAATAGTTAATTATACACCTGCAAAGACAATAAAATCGATATTATCTTTCCTCAATGTTTTGTTCTGCGATTGTGTGCTAATTTGCGGTGGCAATTCGCGAAATTTCCAGGGGACAGGGGAATGATTGGATTGTTTCAATTCAGTTGGATTGTATTATTGCTGAAATTTTCGTATTTATTCCTCTTTCAATTTTTATGGAAAAAAAAAATGAATTTCTCTTCCACTCACACCTACCGATAAACTCAAGTTTCCTTAACGTTTATTATTTACAAGTGCCTCGTCGATACATCCAGAGTTCGTACTTCCGCATCCACACGAAATAATTAGTCATTGCAATTGCAGTTCTCGATATAATTCTTCGTGTTTTGTTTTTTTCTTTTTCTCAACCAAACTAAAGCCCTAAATCATCTACACGACGTATTCAGAGACTAATTACTTGTCTGTAAATTTATTTTTGCTCCTCATATCTTTTCATTACAGATACGACACATGGTATAAAGGTACGGTAATTGCAAACTGGAGGGCCACAAGGGACCGGTCAGTCTCATAACAAAACTCCTTGAAATTATCAGTACTCCAATTCCTCCCAATTATAACTCTTGACAATGTTTTTCTTTTTTCATTTAATGAATGATTTATTCATTTATTTCTTTTCCTTCAAATATATTTCTTTTTTCTCCATAAACTTATCATTATCACCCACTCACTACAATTCCATTCAATTTCCCCGACTTACTCTCTCCACTCATACCCACACATGTACACAACAACTAGCACATCGTTTCTTCCACGTGAAATGAAAAGAAAGGAAAAAAAAATATTCTTTCCTTCCCGTGTCCCCTACAGAATATACATACACACGGGATGATAACGTTTACGATTGATTACATTTTACCCTTAAATAACAATAATATTACTTAATTACTTATTAATCTATTAATATTCAATAATAATAGAGTAAATGATTGATGAATGAGGTGGAGACTGTACAGGATGCGCGATATCCGTGATTATCACATGTAATAGATTATTAATTTTCTGTAACATTCAATCTTATTTATTACGTTTTTTTTTTTCATTTTCAATCAATTTTTCATTAGGGCTCCGAAAAATTCACATCTCTCCGTACGCTAACCACTATATCTGTGTTTATATTTCTTATCCATTCAACATTAGTTAAACAGGTATATAGGTAAATAAGACAGTTGTTATCTCAGATAAAATTTGTCACGGCATTGCGTTGAATGCAATCACTCAAAAGCGCCTAGACCCATCAATACCCTTTTTATTTATACACAAGTGTAGTCGCACTTTGACCCTATTCGAAATATTTTTTTTAGCACTATTCATTCATAAATAGAGACAGGGACTTGAGGAGGTGTTTGGCTCGCTCTGGGGCCACCCCTTCCCCAGAAATTAGCCCCCATCGTATCTCCTTTAAATAATAAATTATTTGGTTTGTCACGCGCTCAGAGCGTCCTGGCACTTTTTATTTATCATACGTCAAGAGAAGGAAAAAAAGGACAAAAAAATTACATTTTTTTCCATTCCACTGGTTTGGGGAGCAAATGATCCCCCCGGAATAAGGATAGAAATAAAAAAAAGTTTGTTTTTTTTTTAAGGTAGGCTAAATCACAACTCAACTTGAGTCTGACAATAGCACTACGCCTCAAGTGAGAGAGCCTTGCAGGGTCCAACGAATGGCCTCGGCGATGGGGACGGTGATTTTTTCGATAGATTAAGGGGTTGTTGACTATCAGCAATATCTACTTGTAATTCCATCATATTACTAGGACAACCCGATAAAACTAGTGTCGTACTCGAAGTTGGCCTTGGACTCGTACTACTTGTACTTGATGCAGCAACAGATAAATACCTCGGTGATGCTGGTGAATTGACAACAAGATAGCCAGAGCCGGAAGATTGTTGTCTAGCTCCAGTTGTCGTTGTGATAACGGATGTAGCCGGCCACCTTGAGTAACCAGTTGTTGCACACTGCAGGAGCCCCTGTGAAGCTTGAGGCGATCGTGCACTCAGAGTTGTCGTAGATGCGCACTGTTCAGCAGGTGATGGGGATGCAGCTGGTGATCTCGGACTAGCCTCACCCCTCATAATGTAATTGTGAATTATATCAGTACGTTTGAGCTGTTCAGCAGTCATCCTTGGGCCCTCCATAAGGCTCTTAGCTAGTGTCGAGTGAGTACTGCTCAACAAACTCGCACTCTGCTGTGTTGGACTTCTCGTTGGTGGTGATGTAAGATGAAGATGAAGCTGCGATTGCTGCTGCACAATGACTGGCTCAGCCTCAGCGCTGTCCTTCTGCCTGAGCGCTCGAAATTTTTTGTGTGGCTTGTATGCCTCATCCATCAGAGAATTGGTGTCGTATAGTGGTGGTGCTTGAAGTACTCTCTTCAACACCGGCATATCTTCAACTTCTTTGTCCTCAGATCTTGGACTTGAGCAGACTGATGTTGGTGCGCTGCTTGCACTGCTGCTCGCTGGTTTATCGGGTTTTTCGGTGCCGGACTCAATGCCACTGTCACTCGGTGAATCGAGTTTACGGAATCGTGGACATTGAGCCTGTGGTTGCGGTGTTTTCGACATTGTTGCACGGTGATGTTCGTCATCACCTGAACTCGTGCTGCCTGAGTTAGCACGACGTCTGTGAGGACAGAGGCCACCGGCCAGAGTGGCCGCAAGAAGGGGTGCACTTGAGGCATGATGACCAGGTGCATGATGGTATTCCGTAAGAGAAGCGACCTCACCACTACATGTGCTCTCAGTACTCGATACACTGCCCAATGGGCTCTTAACAGCCTCGTCCAGAGTCACATCTGATGCTGATCCCCATGATGCAACTGGCTCCTCCTCCATTGGCCACTGCTGCACATTTGTGTGTTGGCTTTGTTGTTGTTGTTGTTGTTGTTGTTGTTGTTG